GTTCTATGTTGCTTGTGATCCTCTTGTATCAGAATTAATAGAAGTAGCAGAGTTTTTAAAAGGTTCTATATATAAAAAAAAAAATGATCTTCCAAATAAAATATTTTTATATTATTTTTTCAAAAACTTTCTTATAAATTCTTATATTTTATAATAAGAATAAAGTCTTTTTGTATGAAATTTCTTTTTTAAATTTTCAAGCACATTTTCTTAATAAATTCACACGCATACATATGTGTGATATATATATATATATATATATATATATATATATATATAGAGAGAGAGAGAGAGAGAGAGAGAGAGTGTGTGTGTGTGCGTGCGTGCGTGCGTGTGTGTGTGTGTGTGTGTGTGTGTGTGTGTGTGTGAAATAAAATATTGTTTTGCTGTATGCTATATTTATGTGTTAAAATGCTCAATATCGGAGATAAAGTGTATGTAAATATAAAAGTGGACAAGTCAACACCAAGAGGCGACAAAATAGTCTGTCGCTTCTGGGTGTTGATTTCAATGTCCACTTATATATATAAGTGGACATAAAAATACTGAAGTTTTTATAATTTTCTAATTTGTTACATGAAAGAAATTGTGGAGTTTATATTTTCCCAGGGTTACTTACAAAATCACATGAAAAGTTTGCCCTTATTTTTTACGTCCTTATTTTCCAGAAGCATGTGATGCATCTTCAAACGTTTTTGTTCTTTTTTGACGTATGCAGTCCGCCCACTTAAACATCTTTGTGAAAAACATACCTGACTTGTTTTGCCACATAGTATTATTTACTAATGATGACATTTCATGAAAAATGTCATCATTTTAAGTGAATGTATTTTTCTTCAACTTGTAAAGTTTTATTTCTTAGCATGTCAATGATAGTACTCACCACTTTGACGAAAATAAATTGCAACTTAGTCAAAGAGAGAAAATAGAAAATTGTGAAGATATTTAACAGATTGTTTTACAAAAATAACAACTGCCAGGTGGATTAATTCGTTGTATTATTCGACCAATGGTTAAAGTTATAAGCTTTATAATTTATATACTACTACTAATAATAATATTAAATATAATTAATATTATAATAATTATAATAAATATAATAATTTATATTTTATTTTTTATAAGATGTACTGCTTTTTATATTGACAACAGAGAAATGAAAAATTACGGAAGAAATATGTGTCCTGTGTGTGCTTGCTGTAGATACACTCGCACGTTCTTATATAGGCCAGGAATAGGCTCCAAATGAAAACCAAAATTTAATATTTTTCTCGTATTCTCATTAATTGAGAAAGGTCACGCGATGTTCTTACTGCTATGTCCTCTTTTACGTGTCTATTTTAGACTTGATGAAATTGTATTAATAGCTGTAGAGGGAATTTTAAAATATATTTTATTTATTTATTTGTATTTTCGAAGTTTCAACAAAATGTATTATGATATTGAGGAAAGAAATATGTCATAGGCGATATTTGTTTCTTCTTTGAAAGAAAGAAAGAAAGAAAGAAAGAAAGAAAGAGAGAAAAGAAATTTAAATATTTTAAATAAAATAAAAATTCCATTTTTATTCTAAGAAATCAGTAGTTTATGGTTATTTTGCAATATGAATATATTTTCGAACAATAAATGTGTTTTACCTTTTTTTAACGTAACATTTGAAAAAAGTAAAATTTCTGGCAATGTAATAAGCGAATGGGAAGACTAAAAAGCGGGAGAAGTGGACTATTCGATGTAAGAGAAAGTCTTAGATTGGTTCAGAGTGTAGAAAGATAGACTACTTTTTTCTTCATTTAATACGATTCGTTAGACTTATAAACAATGATCGAAAATTAACAAGAAGAGGATTAAGAGAGATTGGAAAATGAATACAAAATAAGAAATGACAATTGTATAAGAAAGAATACAGTTTTCAATATTCTCTCCTTCAGTACAACTAACGATTTCATGATTCCCGACTTCTAATACTAATAATTTAAACTTAAATTTAATCTCCCATTATCTAGCTGTACAAAGAATTGCACTAAGTGCCTTTTGCAGTATTTCAGGAAAACTTTTTCATTAAAAGAATTCTATAAACCTCGGTAATCCATACGTGCAATATTGAGTGAATGTGGTAACCGAGCAAAATCTCAGTCTGTTTGTCTGGTCACCAAAGAATCATGCAATTTAGCATTCTCCTGGTAGAATGTTATGCCTATTCGGTTACCTATTTGGATGAAAAACAGTCTTTGATACGGTTAATGGTGGTTATTTTTTTTTGTTCCACGTTTTTTGCCATGTTGTAAAGTATTCACTTTTTATTGACTATCACAGTTTGCTCTAAAACCAATATTTTCCTTAAAACCATATATCAAAGTAACTAACCTAACCAAACCAGTGCAGATGATTTACAAAACTTATTTTGAATATTTTCCATATATTGGTTGCGCTCTATAACGTTGGTTGTTTATTAATTAATTTGATTGCTATTAACATCAATTGATTTACATAAATATGCGTAGTATCTTGTAGCGAGAAATACCCAACATGAGCATCGCTATACCTTCTTCATAAACTGCATCAGTCTTTTGTCACATTTTTACCTTTTTAAAATAAAAAAATCATATGTTGAAAATGTTGCTTACTTTCTTCCATGTTGAATGATAAATTCAAAATAAGCCAATGTGTGAAAATGTGTCACAATGAAAAGCGATATTTTTTAAATACAGCATCAAAAGCAGAACCAACTTTTCCGTCAACCCATTATTATTATTGTTGTCCTACAAAGAGAATTCATTACATATAGAATTTATCGCTTGTGATCGAATTAAAATATTGGCACCATATGTTATGAATTTTAAAGTCAATGTCAGTTTAGGAAAATAAAATCAACAAATCAGCAGAAATCTAGCGTGTCAGCTTTTGAAATGCAATAAAAAGTGGCGGGAAAACAACAATTATCGATTGAATGACATGATGACTCTACTGGAAAGGTTTGAAAAAAGTTATGTGTTTTGTGTGTGTGTGTGTGTGTGTGTGTGTGTGTAGTGACTGTTAATTTTAGCTCCAAATTAGGTCCTCACCGTCAATGAGATTTTTAGTGCATGTCACATTAATAAAAGGGAGAATTAGAGTAATGCGTTGGCCACGACCTATCTATTAAAGGTATTTAATTAACATCATTTTACAAAGCTAAGAACGCTGTTTTATACGTTCAAAACATTTCACTCGTTGCTAATGAACTCATAAGTAAAAAATGTAATTCAATGATGTGAGATTTATTGATATAAAAAACAAGCCAGAAAACCAAGAAAAGCAGGTGTAAATTGATGTGGATCTTCATCATTCTATTCTACTCTTCATACTTTTAATTTATCACAATAACACATTCGATCTATGAACCTATATTCTTCTCCATGAAATAAAGACAAAATAAGGTATTTACAATGAATGCGAATGATATATTTACAATGATGATGTCGCGGGGAAGTGAAAAAAATGTCAAAAATGAAAGTTAATATGGGGCTCGACTTTCCCATTCTTAGGAAAGGGCGGCCATAGTAGCATTCTCCTCCCCCCCCCCTCCAAAAAAAAACAAATGACAAGAAGTTCGTTAAAGAGATAACGAAATATGTTTTGTAAAATAAGCGTCGTGTTGAAAAGACTCACTTTTCAATTTTTAAAACAGATTTAAAAAACTAGAAGTAGGATGGAAATCCTTAAATTAATTTAACTGACTGTAAGTAGGGTCAGGAGTTTCATTTACTCACCTTTGATTCCGGTCACGTGATACATTCAAGCTCTACCGCTTTTAGCCACGTTTTGCTGAAATTTACGGGACCCATATTTTACTCTCACATCTAATTTAAACTGTTAGTTTGAGAAAAGATTTTATTTAATTTGGGACCCAACGCGACATCCAAGGATAAGAACTGATAGGACTCCATGCGAGCCGCTATCCTACCTATATTTTCGCGGGCGGACTTTGTTACAGTAGAAGGCCTGCTCAATCATTTCCTTCACACGACTGCTGTAGATTTATCTTGCCCATTTGGAAAAGAATACTGCCAGGTGTGAGAAAGTGGTGTGCGATTTGAATAAACTGTCCAAATAACATTAACACGACACGAGATGGTGAAGAGCTGAAAAATCGAGACAAAATTCAATCTGAAACAACAGGCATTTTAATTTTTTTTTAAACTGGTAACGAATCTCGACAAAGTGTGCTGCAGTGTTTTTCTGACATTGGCTTACTTCAAACAATTTAAACTCAGTTAAGATATTTAAAGTTGTTGATAAATTTTAAGGTTTGAAGGTCTCGGCATTCTCTTCTGATGTTATTCTCTCTTTGTACTTTTAGAACATCGTACGGATAATTACAGTTTTTTGGGTTTTTTTCTGCGACTTGGTAACAAGTGTGTCGAATTGCAATACGTTAAAGATCCACATTGTAAATAATTTGTCCCTTATCACATCAAACAGAATGATATTTCTTGTAACAAAAGTCCAGAGTGTTTTTCAACTGAGGATTTGAGGATACTGGTCTTCGTTCAAACCGGTGATCAGGTCAGATTATGTACCCACTCCCAAAAAATGTAACTAAAGTCTACTCAGCATAGTTGCAATATAAATCACAAATGATAAACAAATGGGTTTTAACAGGCTTCTGCAACAGGGACTAGTCAGTTGACCCAGCAAACCGATATAGTCAGAAACGAGTAACCACTCATTAATTATTGCCATCAAATTAGTCGTTTATTAAACAATGACTCTTTGGGTTTTTATTTTTCTGTTTAGTTCAAGCATTAGTCTTTGACTGAAGATTTATCTAATATAAAAATATCTGCATAATATTCATAGATTCATGAAGAATAATAATATCTTATCAGAGATGGAAAATTTGGGGATATTTTGATTATCTTTATTAGGATCAACACCTTAATTACTACATGGCAAACTCACAATATATATATATATATATATATATATATATATATATATATATATATTTATTTTCACAGGAAATACAGAATACATTTCAGAAGGGTTTGAAGATACAGTCACAGATCCATCTCTAGTTGCATTAGCCTTTTTACAATGGACTGTGGTCTTTTTGATGGATGGTAAGTATCAATCCAGAAATAAATTCTCTCTGATATCAAGCTTTTCATTATAATCACAGATTTGAATAATTATAAATGCTAAGAAAGATAGCCCTTTGGTATTAACTAGTGATTGATCCTTAAAAAATAAATATTTTTAGCTTATTTACATACAACTGTACATGTAAGGTGTATGAAAGGATTTACTTGTAAAAATCCATTATAAGAAAGTATTACCCTATACTTTTTATTACCAACAATTCATGGTGGGTCAATGATGCATTGCTTCAGAAAACAGCATCTTTAGTGCACAGAAATCATGTCATTGTTCAGAGTCACTAATCAAAATAAATACAAGAGAAAATAAAATCATTTTTGAGATTTTTTCCATATTGAAAAGTTTTTTTTCCATCATTAGATTATTTTCTTAGTACCAAGAAATAAAACATCAATTTACGTTTCTCAGGGTTTCTCATCCTCATCATTTTTAAAAAACCATTTCACCCAAAACAAAGCAGTAAGACCATACAAGGGGTTAGTGGGTGTGAAAGAATATGAAAAAGAGAAACCTTATTAAGGAGAGAGAACAATAAAAGAAGAGTTAACAAGAAGACATTGCATTTAAATTTTTGAAGATCAGAGTTGGCTGGAAAACATGAAGCTGGGAGATACTTCCACAAGCAAGAGAATAAACTTTTAGCATAGAACTTACAGTTATATTCTAGCCATATCAACTGTAAATTGATGAGACCTTGCTGCCAATCTAGTACTGCATTTGAATTCATAGAGCCTTGGTACCAAACAGAAAGTTTCATAACAATTACCATGAAAGTATTTATATGAAAGGCACAGGAAAGCGTCTGAAGCTGAGATCCCAGGTCAGGACTAATAAAATTGCAGATTCTTCATTGGATCTTATCAAGAATCTCTAAGTATATAACAGGGGAACTGGACCATCTGTGGCAGCAATATTCAATGCATGGATCAATGATAGACTTACAAATATGTACAAAAGATTCTGGAGAGACAAATTGTCACCACATAACACTGTGAATAAACTTTCCTAGCAGCAGACCTAGCACTTGATTCACTATAATCTTTCCACTTCATTTCAGCAGAGAATATTAGCCTGAGAAAGCACAAGTCACTTTCCTAGAGGTTAGCATCAGCCATGGTGATGGAAAGGAGTTGCTCAGATTATTAATAAAGAGAAGTTTTATTTTGCAGGAATTAAAATTAACAGAAGAAGGTCATTGATGAAAATTAAGAACAAAGTAGGTCCAAGAAAAAAGCCCTGGGGAACACCCATATTAATACAAAAAGATGTAGAATACTGGCCATTCAAGACAAGTTTCATTTCATGATTTGATAAGAAACACTGAATTAGTTAAAAAATTAATCCAGAAATACCATAACTTTTCAACTTGTGAAGAAGACCAGCAAATCAACTTCTCTCAAATGCTTTCAAGATATCCAAAGCAACAGCCTGAGCATCACCATTCTTATCCAAAGCTTTATAGAGTCTTTTGACAATAACCATTAATATATCAGCTGTTGACCTAGAGAAGTGAGTCATATTGCTTATCTGAAATAAGATCCTGCAAGGTGAGATGCTTGACCAATTCATAATATCTAGTACTTTGCCAAAAAGCAAGTAGTAGGCCAATAATTACAAAGATCAGACATTTCACCTGATTTCTCAAAGACTGGAGCTACAGAAGAAGATTTCCAACAAGCAGGAAAGCAAGAAGCATCCAAGCATTTATTGCAGAGTTTAAAGAGAACAGGTGCTAGTTCAGGAGCACATTTCTTAAAGGTTATTGCATCAAGTTCACATGCTTTGTGGGAAGCCAGTTATGTGCATATTACTCAATAGAGACTCAGTTCTAAGAGGAAAGTCAAGCAAAGATACTCCAGATGAATCAAGAGTAGAATTGGAAGAGAATTTATGAGAAAACATTCTGCTTTATTAGCAAAAGATGTTAACACCTGAAATTGCTATGCAGTACCTCCTCCTATCAGTAAACCAATGACTTAGCCTCTTTAAGGACATGTTTATAATTATTATGTACAGATACAAGTAGGTATCTGTTGTGATTAGAACTGTCATGTTGGTATAGATGGCAAAAGGGATTCTTGTGAGCTATAACAGCTGAACAGGCTGGTGTGAAACAAGAATATTGTAGTTTCATTTGATATTTACAAGAAGGTATAAAAGAATTGATACCAGCTTTAACCCAAGAAGAAACCTTGGTGGTAAAATTCTTAATAGGCTGGTTAAGAATATCAATTCAGAAAAAAATCACAAAATGTATTGCAATCACTTGTAACAGAAAGAGGTCCTGTGAATAGGTGGTTCCTTTCTAATTGTTGACTCAAAGAAATATCAACAGATCTAAATTACAAAGAAGACAGAGTTGTGATGTTTGACAAGAGCTATGAGAGGAGGAAATGAATAAATCAATTAAAGAAGAATGTTGATCATATTTATCAGGGAAGTGAATAGGGAAATCCACTATTTGACTGAGAAATGGAAAAATTGAAACATTAGAATGCAAAATAGGTAGATAGCCAAAATAATGGCTCTCATCAGTTGATTCCAGTTTATATAAAAGAGAATTCCTAACACTGCCTTTTCCAAGCAATTGAAAAGGAACATGGTAGAAATCTATACTAACCTGACATGCATATGATCGACAAACCAGTAGATGTCACCAGTTTGTACTTTCTTACTATCCTTGGGAAAAATATAGGTCAAATATTTGTTGATAAATAGTATCAACAAATATTCTCTGTTGTTTTTTGAGAATTGAAGCCAATATTAATTCATAATAAAGACTTTCATAAGGCATTAGTTTATAAGACTTTCATATATAAACAACTTTGTGATATTTCCATTAAAAAATGTGCTAATTTAATATCTTAACCTTCTCACTCAAACAAGCTTATTTTTACTCAGGTGATCAACAATGAAAACATGTAAAATTATATTTTCTTTGTGAAAAATGTTGGTAGCACGGGATTTGAAAAAATAAATCTGTACAAGATTTTTTTTTCAAGCTAATTTTACTTTCATTTGGCTGTTTTATACGTCTGTTTGCATATTTATGTTCATTTTAATCTTCTATTCATCATCAAACAAATTAATTATGATTATAGCCACATAATTAAAATATTTTCAATACTGATTTTATTATTTGCAGGAACAATTTGAACTTTGTAACTGAAGAATTGAAAAATCCCACAAGGTTGGTTTTGGTCAGGTTTTTAATGGAATTTTATTATTGGCAGAATTGTTATAAATGAACATTAAACTCTGTAGATATAAAGTGTCATAATACATGATCATGGCACTAAAAGTAGAACTCTTTAAATGAATTGTATGAGTATTTCAAATGAGCAATTAACAGTGTTAAACGATTTCTTGAAAAAGTTTGGAATATGGTATTGTTTCTTATCTGCAGGAATGTAAGTGTGCAGTGTGCAGTAAAATAAGAAAAAATAACATTTTATGTAGGATAGTGCTCTATACAATTATAAAAAGCTATGGTTTCAGGTTTATGATATTGTGCTCTTGGAATAAATAAATAAATAAATGTCAACAATATTGCAGCATCAATGATTTCTAGAATCAAGGCAGTGATGCAAAACACTTTCTTTACTTTTCAACTTCACTTAATATAAATTTCTTATCTCATGTTTTTACATACAATAAAAGAATACAACATTTTAAAAGTGAAAAAAAATCATTTCTTCATGATTTTTAGGTAGGATTTTCAAACTTTTGCAAAATTAACTTTATGGCTTTATTAAGGTTTTACAAAAAAACATTTATTCATTCAATTTTCTTTTATATAAACAGTTTAATAAGTAAAATTTTCAGGCTATATCATATGGAATGAAATAATTTTTTCTGTTGTGTTTTTTCTGACAAGCAAAGAAAACTTGAATTTGTTTAAAATACTGGAAAATTATTTAGAAAGACGATTGGATGTTATTTCAAAACAAAATGAACTCTGAATGTTGTATTAGATTTCTAGATTAATTTGAAAAATGAATTATATTTAGTTTGCCCTGAATCCATGGGAAAGGCATAAATCAATCTCATCTTACCCAACTGACAAACATTTTGATAAAGATATGGGAATCACATAACTAGACAGTGTACTTAGTTCCTCAATGTTGTTAAAGCAGAAAGTGTCACATGATATTTGCAGAGAAGATGAGTGCTATCAAATAAGTTTTTCTTGCTACATGAGATACAATGAAGAATAAATTTTAGCATAGAACAATCTTGTTTTTTTTGGTTGGATCCAACCAACCAACAAAAATGATCAAAATAAATTCTTGTTCTCTTTGTTGAAAGTAAATATAATCTCTTTTTATATTGACACATGTAATAATAGTCTATATGGCTAAACTTTAATTCATAACTCTCTTTAAAATGCAGCATTATTTTCCTTTTTCTTCCACAGAGACTTGCCATTATCTATTATCATTGGAATTCCTGTGACCACCGTCTGTTATGTGATAACTAATATTGGTTACCTGAGTGTTATGTCAAAAGAAGAAATCAATTTGTCTCATGCTGTTGCTGTGGTAAGTTTGTAAAGCTCCTTCTCCCAAACAATCATTATTTTTTTGCTACTCAATTATATAATTGCAAGAGAAGCTCCAAAACCATGAAATATAAATATATACCAAATCAGTGACATAAATAGACTGTAGCAAAAATCATTAATGGTCTTTCAAAGAAAGCTTTTGTTCAGTTTTAACAGATTTTAGCTTTCATTCCAGAATTGAAAAAGATTTTTGGACTGTAAAAAAACAGTGATGAGACTATTAAATGCAGCTGTAAATAAATAAATAAATAAATAAATAATAATAATAATAATAATAATAATAATAATTCTTGATGGCCATAATATCAAGGTCAGAAGAAATTGACACACTCAAGATATACACTACGTTTGGAATGACGACCCATTCAATCCACTCTTATCCCAGTTACAATTGAGAAATTGGAGTTTGTACCATTGAACTTAAAATTGAATACTTAAAGTTGAGAAAATTGGAATAAAACTGAGTATCCCATCACTCCAGAAGCCTGTGTTGCTTGGCACTGTAAATATTCTGTGAAAGGTGCTATCTGTTTGAGGTTGTATGACTTGATAGCAAATGCTTATAATGCAAGGTGTTCAATTGAAAATGAAAACTGTACTAAAGAAAATAATAATAATATTGTTTGTGACACAACAGAAAAATATCTAATCGATTACACACAAATGTATGCACAGACAAATATGTATTATCAGGTGTCATATTTATAGTCTTTCCTGAATAAACAAATGCTAATTTTAACCTTCAAATTTCAAATGTGAAATTCTTAACATGCTAGAGCTTCATTAGAAACATCATAAGGTTTAAATTTAGAACCAGTTATTTTTTTTTTACATATATATATGTATATATATAATTTCATCATTATTGCAAATTTCTAAGTACAATATAATTCTTAGTATACTAACTTACCAATTATTTATTTTAAAATTACTTGATTAATTATCAATTCAATATATTCTTTTGACAAATACCAAATGTATATAAAATTGAAACGGCTCTTTTAATTGTTTTAAATATCCATTTTGTCTTCATCCACATCACTGATGCTAACCTCATTGTACATTTGCGGGCTAATGTTTTCACCCCAAGCAAAACAAAAAAGCCACTAAGATGCAAGGAGTTACTATGTGTGAATGAATATGAGAAAGACCATTATTAAGGAGTGAGGACAATAAAAGAAAATGAATTAAGAGGACAAAGACAATGTTTGATGTTGCATTTAAATTTTTGAAGACCAAAATTGGCTGGGAAGCAAGAAAACAGAAGAGAGTTCCACAAAGGAGAAATGTGAGAGAAGAAGCTGTCATTATATAACTTTTGGTTACATCTAAGCCAATTCAACTGCAAATTGATGAAACCTAGTTGCTAATCTTGTACTGGGCTTAAATTCATAAAATCAAGGTACCAAAGAAGAAAGCTCAAGAACAATTACCATGAAAATATATATAGAAAAGCACAGGGAAGCTATGTGTTGGAAAAGTGACTGAAGCTGAGATGCCAGATCAGGATTGATAACATTGCAGATTCTTTTTTGGATTTTATCAAAAATCTCTGGATACATAGCAGAAGCACCAAACCAGATGTGACAGCAATATTCAAAGCAATGACAAATGTTAGATTATACATATGTAAGATAGATTCTGGTGAGCAAAATTGTCTAGCACGACACAAGTAACCAACTTTTGTAGCAGCAGACCTAGCAATTAATTCAATATAATCATTCCACTTCATGTTAGCAAAAAGTGTTAGCCCAAGACCAAATATATAATCATCTCCATCAGGCATATTATCTAATGTTTTCCTGATTACTATTCTATTGTTTTCACTCCTAATTACTAATGTTTTCTATTCTTTCACATCCAGTAACCTCTTGTGTGTGTCTCAGTGGCTTTACTACCTTGCTTGGGGTAAATTCACACACACACACACATATATATATATATATATATATATATATATATATATATATATTATATATATATATATATAAAATCATGTTTATAAATTGGATATTTCTTGCTTGTAAGCATGTTTTACAGGCTTTATCAGTTCCATCTGCAAATGATGGAATAATATTTTCTTAATTTTGCCCAAAAAATTTATGAAAATAACAAAAAACATTTCTTACTCTTAGTAAGAAATGTTTTTTGTTATTTTCATAAATATGATGCAGAAACTCAAAATTCAATCACTAGGCACAATAATGAAAAGTTTTATTTCAAATTGCACATCTTAATCCTTCACCACAAAGAAAAAACATTTGACAATTTTAAGTGAAAATTCATGAAAGTATAGAATTAAAATATATACTTCCACACATATACTTTTTCATCTTCTGCTAACAACAAAACAATATAAACAAATTTGAACATTTTTTTCTTACATTGCTTAAGGTTATATCTTTAACCTATTCAATTCTTACATTATAAAGTGAAATATATAATGAAAGGAATGTTATGTTTTCTTTTAATTTTACCAAAAAGAAAAATAAAGAAATTGAAAGACACTTTTGAATAAAAGCAGATGGCAAAGCTTAATAAGAACCAATGAGAGATTGTGAATAAGTTTAATGTTATTTACTTACTTCTCTTCTTCTGCTCTAAATGTTTAAAGATTAGAGCAACATATAATAATTCATGTCATTTTTATTAAAACTTGGATGCCATCATGATGCTGTATCAGAACATCCATTCCATGGTATGCTCACCTGATAGAGACACACAGTTTTTTTATATTACTGCAGGAGTCCTTCAGGGAGATACATTTGAACCTTTTCTCTTCATTATCTACCTTAGCTATATTCTAAGAAAAGCCCTAGATAAGAGCTTTCATCTTGGCTTCACTGTCACTGAATAAAAAAGCAAACAGTATCTAGCTGAGAAGATTACTGATGCTTACTATGCTGATGACCTAGCATTATTGGTTGACCATCTAAAAGACACAACATCACTCCTTCGCAACATCAAAAATGTAACCCAGGAGATTTGGCTGCATATCAATGTGGGTAAAACAGAGTTCACTTGCCTGAATCATGATACATCAACAGGCATAAAAAGTCTGAATGGAGAAAACATCAAGCGAGTAGACAACTTCAAATATCTGGGTAGCTATATTGCCTCCACTGAGAATGATGCAAACATCAGACTGGAAAAAGCCTGGGGAGCACTTAATGAAATGAACAAAATCTGGAAATCAAATCTACTGGACAAACTGAAGAGAAACTTCTTCAGAACTACAATAGATCCTGTCCTTGTATATGGCTCCTTAACCTGGACACTAACAGCCAAACTGGAAAAGAGGTTAGTTGGTGCTTACACATAAACACTTTGAGCAGCACTAAACAAATCCTGGAAAGATCATCCAACAAAGAAAGAGCTTGATGGCAACATACCTCCTATGAGCAAATCAATATGCTAGCAAAGACTAAGATTTGCTGGTCACTGTTGGCATAGCAAAGAAGAACTAGCTGGAGATGTTCTACTCTGGATACAACCCTGTGGAAAAGAACACATAAGGTCGATCAAAGAAGATGTACATTGACCATCTGATTGAGGCAGAGTGGATGAGCTTCCAAATGCAATGAGCAATAGGAATGGATGGAAGTTGTATTTCATGAAATGCTGAGCTTGCCCAACCTGATGATGATGATGATGATGATGATGATGATGATGATGATGATGATGGAATCATATTTTTCATTTATTATTACCTATTTTTATGAGTTTAACAACAAAATGCAAATTCTTACATTTAAGACTCAAACTTTATGAATTTCTTTTACAATTTAGATGTGGGGAGAAAAGGTCCTTGGAATAATGGCCTGGCTAATTCCAATGTTTGTGGTGATGTCTTGTTTTGGAGCAGCCAATGGAGTCCTCTTCTCTACTGGAAGGTAAGGAATTATTTACATTGTTTACAGAAATCTGAAAGGCATACAGAAAGGCATTAAATGTTAATAAAAGTTAAAGATGAATATCTTGGAATTTAAGTTCTATATCTGGAAATATAACCTTCTATTTAAAAGATTTTAATTTACCTTAAACACTTTAAGTTGAGTAATTTAACAACTTTCCAAGCATTTATAGACATCATATAATATATACATATATATTCATGTAATGCACAATGTTTATTTTAAATACAGCTGTACTTTTTGACTACTGTGAATGGATATATAGTTTGATCAATGCCATAGCCAGGGCCAGCAGTACATATGCTAATTTTATATCTCATGTATGATGTGACCCCCTTAAAATTAGTTTTCAAATTAGGTTTTCAAAAGTTGCATGATTCACGAGCATATACAGTAATTGTTTTTCATCTTTTCAGACTAAAATAGATTTTGTTTTGTCAGGAATATTTTTAACTTCTATCAGTTTTTTTTTTATTCCAGTCTATTGTTAAAACTATTTTTATTGATTAAATTACTTGTTTTTATAATGACACCAGTTAATCCTGTAATTATTACTATTAGTAGTAGTAATAGTAGTAGTAGTAACTTCTTTAACTAACTAGACTTAACCAAAATAGATTAAATGATAAAATAGAAGAAAATAAATAGGAATTTTAAAAAATAGTTCAAAATTCTAGTTGCAAGCAACTGATCCATTGATGAACTCATTGTTTATTGTTAATCATCTTGAATAAATCTTATCAGCATGATGATGATGATGATGATAATGATAATGATGATGATGCATATGGTTTTCTGAGTAGAATGAAAGCAGGAAGAAAGGGGATTATAATCTCACATTGCAATGTATGATGGTTAAGCTGTCAGCATTAGCAAATAAAAATTATTCACTTTGGATTAAAAAATTCACTAGTTTTAAATAATGTCCTGATGTTTTTGTCAAAACTAATTATAAGTCACTAGAGCTTTTATACATCACATTTTAGTTGGGGTGTCTTTTTATTATTATTATTATTATTATTATTATTATTATTATTTCCTTTGATTTCTGGTATGTACACATTTCTTTCCCACCCAGAGACCTAAGTTTAGAAATGGCATCAAGACATTTTCCACTGACCAATTAAAAAATAACACACACACACACAAACACACACACAGACACACACACACACAAACACACACACACACACACACACACATATTTTACATAAATAAAGCCCTTCATAAGGTGTGAGCTGTATTCATGAGAACAATTTTTTGTATTTCTTTAAGGCATGGGCTTACAGGAATCCCTTCTATGAGTCTATTGGAATCTTTTACAATAAATCCGAGGGCTCCAACTACAACAGGGATTGTTGATGTTCCCATATGCCACATTTTTGAAATTTCAATTTCAAGGTCCTTGTATAACTTTTTGAAGATCTTCAAATATACATTGCAGTCTGCAGGGACTGCCATATCAATAAGGAGGCACTTTTTTGTTTGTGGTCTCTAATAACAATGTCTGGGTGGTTAGCTTTGATTGTTCTGCTTGTATGTATTGTGTAGTCCCATAAAATTGTAACAGGTCCTATCTCTGTAACCGAGTCTGGGTGGTGTTCATACCAATTTCTTTCAGTTTCCTTCCCGTAGAAGTTGCAGGTTTTCCAGTACAGATATTGGCCCACTCTGTCATACCAGGTTTTATATTCAGTGGGTGCCAATACTGTGCAACCAGATACAAGATGATCAATTGTTTCTGGGTAATTAGCATAGAACCTGCATTTTGGGCTAACACAATATTTTAGTATGTGTGCTTGGTAATTCCTAGTTAGCAAGCACTGATCATGTGCAGCAAGAATAAAACCTTCCGTTTCAGCTTTTAACCCCGCACTATCTAGTTACTGATGAGTACTGGGCTTGTCTACATCAGCTTGTTTGGTACAGGAAGAATATTGGCCATGAAGTGGCCAATATTCTTGCCATTGTTTCTGTATCTGGTCACTTGCATTTGTTTTTGCTTTCTTTTTTATGTATATTGCAGCTTCAGTTGGTATATTGTGCTTTACTTGTATTTCTTCATCCATTTGAAACTCCATTTTGAGCTTGTTGTCTTCATTTATCTTACTTATTATAAAACGCAGATTGTGTGTGTGTGTGTGTGTGTGTCTGTATCGTTTATATATTGGATCAGATTTCCTACATTTTTCAACCGATTTCAACAAAACTTCACAGGACTACATAAAATTACCTTGTGGTGGTTCTAACAGCGCCAAAAATGGGGAAAATATAATTGTTTTTGCACAAAATCAATTTGAAAACACGATTAAGAGACATCGTGAAAATGGAAGAGGGACAACTCACATCGGGTTGTTTGTGTGTGTGGGTTCCTTTAAATATGGGAGCGGATTTCCTATATTTTTCAGCCGATAAAACAAAACTTCCCTTTTTTTTTTGGCAGGTAGTGTTTCTTATTCTCTTGCACACTTTTTTCTTTATTTTTACATTCAGAATGCTTTAAAAATGCCATTTACAAGACAATTGTTTATAAAATTCTATTCAATCAGGAGACTCATAATGATTGAAAACAATGTTTTTGTTTGAGTCTGTTTGGGTTTGACCAATTCCTAAAAAAAAAAAACTAATTAAGACATGCGTGTCCGTCAACCTTAAACAATAATCTTTGTCAATTTTATTTTTCACTCTTTATGATGGTGGATACTTGATCTATCTCTTACTGTTATATCCCCGGGCAACGCCGGGCTCTACTGCTAGTTATGGAATAAAAACACTTACTACTTTCATGTTCTTTGACACATATCATCATCCAGTCTTCTGTAGTTTCCAGGTATCTTTGAAGGCCAATTGTTGTAGTTTTGTAGGACAGTTCTAGTTGAACTAATCCTTTGCCTCCTTCAGATCTGGGCACATGCAGACGATCAACATCAGCTTTGGGGTGAAGCATGCGGTAGCAAGTGAGAAGCTTTCTCATTTTGGTGTCCATTCACTTAATGTCAGCTATGGTCCAATTAAGGATGTTAAAGCTGTATTGCACCACAGGGACAGCCAAGGTGTTTATGGCTGATATTCTGTTTTTTGAGTTCAGCTGGGTATTTAGTACCAGACACACATGCCTGTAGCACTCCTTTGTTACCTTCTCTTTCATTTGAGTATGTTATATACCCATCTCCTTTGCTAATTCCTAGGTGCTTATAGGATTCATCTTGATCCAGTTCTCTAATCTTTGTGGTAAAATCTAAATCTATTGAGCTTGTTTCTATAATTCTCCCTTTCTTGAATGTTACTTTTGCACATTTATCTAATCTGAAGTCCATACCAATGTCGTCACTGAAACATTTTACAATATTGAGGATACCCTTCAACTCATTGTCGTTTTTGACAAAGAGTTTGAGATCATCCAAGTAGAGTAGGTGATTGAATATTTTTTGTCTAGTTTGTAACTATAGCTACTGTTGTTTAGTTCATGTGTAAGAGGGATTAAGGACAAACAAAACAGAAGGGGTGAGAGGGAGTCTCCTTGAAAGATTCTGCATTGGATATTCAGATGGTTGCAGATGGCAGTGCCTCTGATGTGATTTAGGTATGGTGTGGTGTTCCACATTCCCATGCTGTGCTTAAGGAAATTTACTACCGCAGGGGGAAGACTTTTTACCTTTTCAAAGTCTTAAGGATCCAAGAGAGTGGCACACTATCAAAGGCTTTACGTTAATCAATCCACGCTGCACTAAAATTTCTACACCGTCTCCTGCAATTTTCCAGGATCATTTTGTTTATCAGTAGTTGATCTTTGCAGCCATATGAGCCTCTCCTGCATCCCTTCTGTTCCAGTGGAAGAATGTTATTTGCTTCGAAGAAAGAGTAAGTTCAGTTCGTCAGGACAGATGTGATCAACTTATATGTGGTGGAGAGACATGTTATTGGCCTATAATTTTTCAGATCATCTGTTTCACTCGTTTTTGGCATGAGATATGTAATACCTTCAGTGATCCAATCCGGGATTTCATTGGGATTATTTACAAGCATTGATAGGGTTTTTTGCAAAGATTTTATGGATTGATCAAAGATGATAGAGCCAGAAATTGGGCACCTTGTCATTTCCTGGGGATTTCCATTTTTGAGATTTTGTTAGAGCTTGCCTAACATTATCTGTGGTTATATTTTCCCACTCTTGCATAGGTGTATGCAGCATTCATTTTTATTCATGTTGGATCCATTCTGTATTTGGGTTATATTAAAAAATAATAATAATAAGGAGTTTCAAATGGGCATAGAGATGCAAGTACAGCACAATACACCAGCTGAAACTGCAAAATACTTAAAAAAGAAAGCAAAGACGAATGCAACTGACCAGATACAGAAGCGATGGCAAGATAAACCGCTTCATGACCAACACCCTGCCCGTACCAAACAAGCTGATGTAGACAAAACCCGTACCCATCAGTGGCTATGTAGTGCGGGGTTGAAAGCTGAAACTGAAGGTTTTATCCTTGCTGCACAGGACCAATGCCTGCTACCTAGGAATTATCAAGCACATATACTAAAATATAGTGTTAGCCCAAAATGCTGATTCTCTGATAAATATCCAGAAACGATTGATCATCTTGTATCAGGTTGCACGATGTTGGCACCCACTAAATATAAAACCCGACATGACAGAGTGGGCCAATATCTGCACTGGAAAATCTGCAACTTCTACGGGAAGGAAACTGAAAGAAACTGGTATGAACACCACCCAGACTCGGTTACGGAGATAGGACCTGTTACAATTCTATGGGACTACACAATACACACTGACAGAACAATCAAAGCCAACTGCCCAGATATTGTTATTAAAGACCACAAACAAAAAAAGTGCCTCCTTATTGATAGGGCAGTCCCTGCTGACTGCAATGTATCTTTGAAGATATTCAAAAAGCTGTCAAAATACAAGGACCTTGAAATTGAAATCTCGAAAATGTGGCATATGGGAACATCAA